TTTTTGCGGTATGTTACTATTTTAATACGATAGATTATCCTACAATTTAGAAAAATTGGAGTTCATTTGCACTTTAAAACTTTCAAACCTCACTCATTATAGTATGTTCTTTCAATGGGTAGTTATGATATATATAAACTCAGGCGTTACGATAGCCACGCCCTATTTCATATGGTCTATAGGCAATGTTTAACGATGCACTTATATTGAGTAACAAAGCATGATGGGAGTTGTAGTCCTCTAACTTTTTCTTGTCCGCCAAAACAGTTATCCTGAGTCGTTTTTGCTGTTCTTTGCGAGAAAAGAAGAAGCTGCGCCGTTTCTATAACTTAAACATAAAAACGGCTTTTTGCGGAGATAGGAGTGATAGGACTACAACTCCCACAATACTTTGCTGTACAAAATGGCACCTCTGTACAGTGTCTAATAATGTAGTATTACTAACCTCAAGCATGAGTGCATGTGGAGAGTGACAAAAGTACGACGTGTTTTCAATAGGAGAGGCTTCCATACAAAGTTGTTGATCACATGCTTTGGGACTGTACATGAACATGATGCTGGATGCAAGATGGCCATCATAAAGAATCTGGAAATAAGTCACAACGAATCATTCAGTTGTTCATTAAGAATTAAATGATCTTTTCCATTCTCTGTTAAGTTCTATTACGCTGTGCAAATTGGCTTACAACGCCGTTGCACCTAGTCTCCTCTCGAAGCCGTTACAAGTCTAGTTCCCGACCTGGGAACGGCTGCGAGAGGAGACTACGTTGCACCACAAGTTGCTGGAAGAATAATCCAGTTTCGAATTCATAGCAAATAACCGCTGCTATATTTGACCATAGTTAGTAACTATGATTTGACAACAGATTCTCTTGCGCAAAGACCTCACAACACAAAATAGAGCACGAGAAAATGTCGTTATTACAATAGACTTGAAAATTTGCATTTTCCCCGAGTTGAGATTAACCCTGTATTCCCATAAGGCCTAATAAGGTATGAGCAGGGTTAGCCTCAACTCGGGGAAAATGTAGATTCTTAGCGCTAGTGTATTAACACCATTTTCTCGTGCTTTCTTTTGTCTTTGGTAAGTTCTTTGAGTAATAGAATCTGCTGTCAAGTAAAACAGCGGTTCTTCACTTGAATTCGAAACTGGAGTATTGTGCTGTGTAACAGGGGTCATATCACATTTTGTTGCATGTAGCTTTGCAACCAGTAGAACTCAGGTTTACTTGTGCCAATGTATTGTAGCAACTTGTAATGCCAATGCATAGTGTATCATCAACTTTTATTGCAATTTTCGAGTTTCGAGTCACGTACGCTCGTAAAGCATGCATAATTTAGCATGCGTGAAGCCCAACCAAAACTGTTGTTGTACACACTAATTACATATGTATTAAAGATATATATCAATACTGACCTTTATGTCTTGCTCAGAAAGAGGAATGTCAATCTCTGACTCAAACTTAAACTGTCCCATATAGCCAGGTCCAAGTCTGTGGATGGCTGCAATTGTATTTGGAGCCAAATTTTCAGAGAAGACATAAACTGCAGCAGTTTGACCATGAAATACACTGGTGACATCAGCTTTGGGTGAGGATCCAATGTAGCATTTATCAAACGGCTGTAAAACAAAACATTTAAGGAAAATTGTCATCAACTTTATCATGATATATTTACCAAGTATAACTTGAGGCATAATTGTTACCATTGGAAAAAGTGATTTCTTACAGAATTTGAACAGGTTTAGAGAGAATTTTGTTTATGCAAAAATCATGGCACTCTTGCATATCATGGCATCACTTGAATCTTAATATGACTAGTGGAATCACTAACATGCAAGGTTAAGTGACTGGGCTTTTTTTGGATTTGCGCAAGTATGTTTTCCGATCGTTCCTTATCTGACCACCGGCTCGCGCTCAATATTCATTTGCGTTCAATATTCACCCATCCCTGGGAGTAAAGAGTGTTCGATTTAGGCAAATCAAGTCCTTTTCATATTCTTGTCTTGATCCATGCTGTTGCACAGAAATAACTAGAAATCGATTGTTCTAAGATCCATCTAATTCTTCAGTTTCCATTTACCTCATTTGTGTTCAGCAGGGTCAACTCCCCAGACGATGACAATTTACCATTGACAAAACAGCGAACTTCACTAGATCTGAATCTGTTGTATGTATACACCACAGTAACCATGTACCACTAAAAAAAAACACAAACCAATTAGAAACAAAAATTAGATACAAAAACAATTGGAACACTTTGAAGCTAATAAGTGTCAATATTCATGGACCAACTTATGACGAAGCTAACCTCAGTTATTTTAATATAAATTAGAAATTAATAAATTTGATTCTGATTTCAATGCATGCAATACAGGTCACATTATATGTCAATGCTCAACTGGAAGCTCTTGGAAGCTTTGTTTATTATACTATCACGCAAAAACGTAGATGTACTCTTTATTACCATCCCTTTATGCTCTAAGAATGGAGATAGAGAACGTTTTATGGATGGGAGCAATTGTCACTTTATTTTCCATACTTTAAGTTATAATGAAAAATAATTTAATTTACACACTGCATTGAACGCTGACTGACCATATATGGAAACTTAAATTAACAAAAAGTAATATAAATTTATATAATTCAAACCTTCTGTGGATGGAAATCAAACTTGACTAAATGTGTATGGACTTTATTCTCCTTCTTCCCAGCCTTCACAGCAGCTTCTAAAACCAGCATAGGCCCAGAGAAATGAGCTGAATACCCAAGACCTTTACCAGTACGAAAACTAAAGATCATATAAATTAAATTACCAATTAGAAATTGTATGGAAAAAGAAACAAAGTATCTATTAATTAGTATCTATTATTATGTACAATGCAATTTCTAAATACCAAAAGATTGGCAAAAGCTATCAGTCAGGTAGTACATGTAACGCAAATTCATCATTGCTTGAATTCTCATGCGCTTATTCACTGTGCTTGTGGCTCCACTTGAGTTTGCCAGAACATTTTATGATGTCAAAAATTGTTCAATGAGAAGACATACCACTCGAAACAATTCAAAATGTTTTTAAAATGACTCAGAAAAAGGTGCCTGTAATTGCAAGATAATGGGTGTGGCAACAAAGGTCTACATCCCCCCTAAAAAGGACCAATCAATAAAGGTATAACTGCAACCTCTTATCAATGTATGTTTATAATGACAAAGTAGCGCTGTTATTGGTATACTGCCTTTTTACTGTAAGACTGTTTCATACCAATAATAGGTCCACAAACCCTAAAAGGGACAAGGAACCCTTTCCCACTAAAAGGAAGTGTACCCCCCCTCCATTCAAGGGTTGACAGCTCTTACTTACATTGATTATGTGTACTTACCAGTACAGGTATGGCTTACACTTTGTGGCATCAGCAATATGCGAAGTATCAAGACATATCCAGGTAGAAAATGCAAAACCACTTTGTAATGGCCACTTGGAGATAGGAGGAAGAGTAATGGCCTAAAAAAGATGACAATGATTAAGCAATTATAGTAATTGTACAAGTAATTGACAGGAACATACATATTTATGYTATAAAATACCACTTTTTGCTTTGTTACASCCCCTCACCATAAAATATCACAACATGCAATTATTAGGCAGCTGTCAGTCAAATTTTTATGCATTTTTTTCTTTATCTTTTAAAGCACTTTTAATAAGTCAACCAAAAATAAAGATAATATATTAAATAAATGAATAAAAGCTGATTGTGAGTCAGTTTATTGCTTATTACAGCTGTGAGGTTCTATTTGGAAGTGGTTAGAGCGGATTTCGTATGAGTGGGAAACGGA